CAAAATTGGCCTGCGTGAATTTTCATCCAGAAACGTTTTATTCAATAATAAAATGAATGTATAAGAGCATTTCAATTATATCAGCCAAATAATATTCTAGGAACGAAGTAGGGCATTGTGCCTCAGCCTGACTATAATAAGCTAGACTGAATATTTTGGCCTCTATAAATAAGTCGGAATTCGGTCATTGTGTGTCATTTGCATGCTGATCTCCGTGTGCCCACAGATCCGCGCTTTCGCTGGGACGCCGGCGCCGACAAAAGAAAACGTCACAATCATCTTGACACTTCCAAATATTCACAAAGTTATAATTGTATGCAAAATCTGATCTTAAAACACATCTATGACACTTCAGCAGCCAGGACCCACTCATATACTTTTTAAAGCGAAACGTCGATCAAAAATAATTTTCTTTTTCAATAGACAGGGAAAGCTCCGCTTATGTCTGTGCTAAAAGAATTTTTCTCGTAAATCGAACACTCAGAAAAAATATGTTTATGAGAACACCAAAGGGTTTGAGTCATTAAATAGAATCAGTGATCTTATTAATCAGTCAGCGATTGCTAAGACATTCACTAAAATTGAATCCTGTAAAAGTTATACATATTCAGCATAAAGTTAGCAAGAAGCTGAAAGTGTCTTGTTCACCATCAGACGACATGTTTATTATTCGATTTTCGAGTTGTAATGATAACGTGACATTTCTTTGGTGAGGTGCCTATCATTCAAATGGAAAAACCAAACATTAACAATCAAGTAAATACAGAAACTAAATATTAAAAAATTCTGATCGAATAGATTCGTTCCCTGCATTGGCGATGAAAGGCCGACTTTTCGAAATGCAAGCCGACGGAACAGTGCGAGTTCAGCGGTGGCTGAGTGTGGTTGTGCGCATAGCTGCTGCAAGCCGCGGCTCGGTACTCCGACGACACGTGTTGAGACTTGCGCTTAGAGATACGGGGCAAATTTAAACGAAATTGTAAGGGTAATTAAAATACAACTGATATTGTGAGCCGCTATTCAATAAACTTCAGAACTAACATCATGAATAGATTTGAAGAAAAATTTTCTACTTTGGACTTTTCAGCATTTGCTTGTTGGAATGAATAATAAGATGGGTTACAGAGAGGCGAAAATTGTCTTTTTATTACTTTGATTTCACATTTAATATGAATTAACGCAAATGGGGGGGGCAGAGATAACATTGATTAAACTCCTGGAACTTTTGTGGAGCGAAATATTATTCATTTCAAATTAACGAAGACTTTCATAAAAATTTTTAATGAATGGTTTGGACGATCCTAGTCCTGGGATTAGTCTATGGATTTCAAATTCAACCTCATGTTCAGGTCTCAGTCGAACTCTACGGACATTTACGCCAGTATTTCAGTATCTCAACGCTTATCGATAAATTTGAATAATTCATACAATTTAACTTGAAACGCTATTAAAAATTTGTGTGTTTATAAATATGATTTTCAATTATTTTTGTCAGCAGTGTATGTTCTAATTTTTAAGTGCGTATGTAAATTTTTTATCTAATCTAGTTTCACTCTTTATATATTACAAATAATATGTTAAAAAAGAATTTCTGGCAAGCCTACCAAAGATTTTCCCACACTCTTCCTAAACCTCACATATATAAAATACATGAAGCACATAAATACCCATTATTTAACTGAAAGTAAGGCTTGTGAAAATTTAATTCAAAAATATCGGTACAGTGGAGTTTTATTAAAATTTTTGGCCGAAGTAGCTCTGTAACGGTGCAGAAAACCATACAAATTGTCGAGCAATTCAAACTCGTAGCGCTATTACAGATAATAATGTTATTATAATATAAATATTTCAATTGCTATTTTGAATTCATCATTTAATAAGGACTCAAAACTTAAAATACTGTAAAATTTATATCTTCGCTAATTAAGATAAGTTATACTCAAAATAATTTTTTTTTCAATGGTAAGTAAAATTAATATATTTATTAGACTAGAATTTGAAGAAAACTAGTAATTAATCGCCTATATTGAATGATTTTATTGAGGCAGATTGAAAGATATTCGCTCATTGTTCCATTATTATCAATACGCTTCTTAAATCAACTCATTGAAACGATTGCTCAACCAATAAAAGTCATCAAAATCAATTATGAAATTAATCATAAATCAAAAATTTACATTACATATTTTCTCAAATCTCAAGACAATTAAGAAAGATTTTGGTAACCATATTTATCGAAAGTTATTGAACAGTATGATTGAAAATGGATGGTTTTGATATTATTAAATAAAGAACTATTAGAATAAAATAGAACATAATGTAGATTTAAAATTAGTCTCATTTATTGACATGTATTGCCTTTCCAGTAAAAAGATACATGAAAATATATAGCGAAAGCACATAATAACCATGGGATAAACATCCATCTTTTACGGTGTAGAATGAATAAATAAATAAAATATCAAACCAACTTGGCTTCACGAAAGGCCAAGTTTTACGTTACACTAGACCGGGTTCTTACAAGGCGTCAGACTCAACCTGTCCAAACTTCACGGGTCAGAAGAGAACTCTTGTCTTTTACAAGTCTGATTTCGACTCCAAAAAACTGCCAAGGAAAAACATGATATTTTCCCAACCAAACGGAAACTTTGCTGGAAAATTTAAGATTAACGCCTGAATCGGAATGCCGAGTTTTTTACGTTGTGGACGGTAGCAATTGAAATGAATATTTTAAAATTTTGCAATTTCTAAGTTTCTAGAAGATTGAATGAAATAGATTTCAAGTTATTAGGCGAGAAGAAGAAAGCTTTTCAAAAGTGCTGATTTAATAATATAGAAACGACTAAAATATTAATATTTTGACTAAAAAAGCAATGTTTCGCTTTTGTAAGACTTTCAAGGGGATCAATGGTTTCTTATATAAATAATGCGGTTGCGAAAAAAATATAAATCTAATAATATGAAATTGTCCACAACTAAAGTAATAATTTTACCATCCACGTGTATTTAATAGCTTTTTATCTTTGTTATTTTATGGGACACAATACAGAGACTACAAAAAGATCGTGCAGATTGGCATAGAAGACCCTTAGTGATAGGGAAGGTCATCACAACGTCAACATGAAGTTGCTGTACGCATTTCGCACGATATGCATCCTGAACGTTCTTACAGGTACGCTATTCTCGATTCATGTGAATTTTTACATAGATGCAATTATTTCAAGTCGCGTCAATGACGCATGAAATTAAATTTATAACAGAATGTGATATTTAAAATATTTAATTATTGAAGTAAAACTAAGTTAATCCTTCTAGTTAAGGATATAAGTTAATCCTACTACTTAAGGATTTGAGATAAATGTGACTATAAAACATAGTAACTACAACATAATCATTGTTATAGACAATTATTATAATAAATGGATTGAGCATTTATTTCAGCGTCACGCCCAACCTGGGAATTCAAATTTCTAATACCAACACCTGACATCATAGTTTCTATACAATTGCAAATTTTTTATACTTCCTAAGAACTACTATGACCTTCTATTTCAAACTGCGGTCATTTCTATATTTTGCATCGTCGCCAAATTGATCACTATATGTTTGTACAAATAATATAGCTTTTAGCAATATTTCTTATAGTACTGAGAAATCCGACCAGCACTTACCTGGGCTGCTTGGCAAGAAGTCAATAACATGAATGTTCCTGATCCCATTTGATAAGCCATGAGAGATAAATTCTTAACGAACTGAAAACAAAGCACTCTTACTCAGTGTAATACAGCTGAGTAAGCATGTCCAATTTGCCATACGACCAAAAATTTATTGGTCGTATTGAATACTTGAGCTGCAAGTGTTCACTCAAGAAAATACACCAAATTTTTCCAGCATTAAATTTCTCTAATTTAGCGCCATTTTAATATTAATACATTCATCGAATGATGTTCATCTTATGCTGTAACGCTAACCATGATTTTCAACATGCCTAATGCCATATTTTCAATAAACTGAAACTATAAATTTAATTCAGATCCAGAAATCAACGTAGATGCAATAAACGGCCTGCTAATGCTGCTCATAACTACGAATGATGACTAGCTAATTTACGAATGTAGCTGGATTTAAGAATTAAATTCAAATTGGTCACATTAACCTAACATATATTTTAATCGCAACATACATTTTAATCTTGGCATACCAGCGTTATTATCTCTAGTAACAAATTGCAGGAGAGCAGAAGGCCTTTAGATTGCACGAGAAGGCGCAACATTTGGCGAGGTTCATATTAGAGTCGCTTCAGTGCCTCTCATGAAATATTCAGCGCAAGATAGACCTCGTCAAATCCCGCAAAAATTCTCGGGGGAAATTAAAAGAAGGATATTTGTGTGTCTTTTGGAATGTTACTCTAAATGCGACCAGTTTGTTAAGAGTAAAGCATTGTGTGACGTTTGTAACTGACTTATAAATTTTCACTGGAAGTTTAGCATCACTAGTGAACAAATTTCTTTTTAAAATTCTAAAGAATGTATTTCATAACTGGCTATTCAATTTATTCAGTCGATTAATCTTGGATGTATTATAAGTGAGTCAATATTTCAGTCAATCTATAATTCACAGGAAAATTATGTTTTTTTTTTTGCTTTTAAAAGGAAAGAGCCATCGGGATTTGACACTCTGTATATCAGGGGTGAAAATTACAAGAATAAGATGGAATATGAACTAATCGAAGCATCAATGTTTCAGGGTTGGAGATGACAAATGCAACATCTGCAGAAGCGTATCAAACAAACTCCGGAAAAAAGTGCCTCCAATTTTTTAGTGATCATAAAAGCAATCAAAAACAAATCAAACAAGTCGTCTGCAAGCCACTCGATCAACGAAAATTACGCATAAAAAGTGCCAGTGCCAAAATGACTGAACCGAAAAATCCTGAACTTTTGATGATGCACGACAAAATTCAAAACAAGTTAAATCAAATAAGATATGAAATAAAAATAAAATGGAATCCATCACCTACACTTGATTATTCACAAAATTTTAGAGTATACAAACGTCACCCGAAGGGTTGGAGGGAAGAAACCAGTCACGTAAGAAGCGAAATAAAAGACAGGTTCCAGTCATGTGTCCCTGCGTGGCGTCGGCTAATGTACGACCGAATGAACGGTCGCAGGAAACACGTCCATGTCCCAGAAATCGAGCGACACGTCCTGCTGGGTCGCCCAAAATATGACCATGCAAGAAACCGTGGAAAATCCAGTGATCTCATTCTTTCGAAAAGGCACCTTTATGATTGGCTGATGAGCAGCCATTCACAGTACAAACAGAGTCCGGTCGGAATGGATGATGGGCCAACAATCTCAGATCATAAATTAGAGACGACAAGAGGGAAAATAAAATTTGGAATTGTAAACCGAAAACCCGAAAGTGGTTTGACAGGCAACGAGCTTGAAAACAGCAAGGAAAAAGAAAGGCCTAAAAGCGGTAATCTGAGTGACCTGCAAAGGAATAGTTCGCCAGAAGTCCAAAAGAAACTAGGCGTAATTATCGATGTGAGTAAACAAGGAATTAGAGTCGCTAGGGACCAAGCCAGAAATTTGAATGCACGACAATCAAATGGAAATACAAAAGAACGACAAGATTTCTTTTCTAAACAAAACATAGCAGCGAAGAGGGATCAGCAAAAGGATTTTATTAAGCGGCAAACTGGATCCACAGGTTGCCACAGAAACCGCAGCTCTGCTGGTGAACCTCGGAAGAAAAACGCTTTAAGAGGCCGACAAAAGTATGATATTTATAAAGACTGTCGAGAGCAAGAGACTACAGTAAACAAAAAAGGACCTGATTTTGGAAATGACCAGCCGAAAAATAAGATATCAGAAGGTGGACTGAAATATGGAGAGGTTCGAGCAAATAAATCATACAGAGAGGAAAGCCAGCGTCACATCCATTCAGACGCAGGAAACTGTGTTTTTTCGCATTTGGAAACAGTGGCAAACGCCTCTGTCTCAAATGAAGCCGAAAATACTTCACTATCTACATGGGGCGAGTTGCCTTTTCCGATAAACGTCAATGGCTTGCTCGGCAAATCTATGAAGAGATATTTAGAAAACACAGAAAATGTTGACAAACAGGGCCTAATGGACTTAGAAAAAATTTCACAAAGAGAAATCGAGGCACCAAATCGCCGGAAAAGAAGCAAAGGAGAACACGAAAAGCTTGTATTACCGGAGAAAAGTATTAGCCTTGCCCAAGAATATTCTGTGATGCATTCTGCTTCAAGTAGAAAGTCTGGCATAAATAACATTACAAAAAAGAGTCCCGTCACAATGTTCAATATTTCGTCAACTGAAGCCCAATTGGGGGACATTGCAGACAGCGATTCAATCCTCAATGCAGAAAAACTCGTCGATTCCTCAAATCTGAAGAGCATAAATTTCCAACCTTCGTTGCTATTCAATAACTTAGAATATAATGTAAATGGTTTTTATGTTAATAATTCTACCTCATTTGGTTCATCGAACGACAATAAATCTTCGCCTCCTGTTTCAAATTCTCCGCATTTCTCCACCGGTAATTTAATTTCCTCGGATAATAACACTGAAGGAAATGACTATTCAATCAGCAAAGGTACCAATGATTTGTCCTTGAATTCCAGCAGCTCATATTTTCAGCACAACCATAATTCACACGTTTCCATTTCAACGAACAGCGCAAGTCCATACGATTCATTTTTAACCTTAGGGCAGGACCATCATGAAATCTCATCTAAAAATCCAGATCGTACGCAACCACATCGTTTTGCACAAATGTTCTACTCTACAAGTTCTCCCATCATCCACACCTCCGACATTCAACAACCCGGCATCAAACTATTGAAACGTAACCCACTCTCTTCAGCCCGTCTTTCTTCACTCTCTGGTAGAACCGTACCGGTACCGTCACTCAGCGAGGTACTTGAACTCACGACCACGACAGAAATAGCGGTAACGGTCAAAAACGTCACGACTGCATCCAAGATACCCGACCTCATTCAGTCGCCAAGAAAATGTAACCGTTGTCCATATTTCCTAAGAACTCCAGTTACAGTGGCCGTAGCGGTGGGGACGGCTGCAAATCTCACTTGTGGAGTCCGGCAGCTTCAAGGCAGACAGGTACGGCTACATGCGATTTGCCGAAGATGTTGATATAGTTATAATTTCCAAAAATATTTTATTAGTTAGGTAGATGTTGTTATTTAATGCACTTTCTGCTAAGGACCAGAGATAAATAAGAGTAAACTATACACAGTCGTACCGAAGAGCGATTGGGTTCACTAGAATAATATGACTACGGAATTCCCAAGAAAATCAATTGTACTTGATATAATTTGAATTAGATGCACACTTGCTATTTTATAACATGCGTTTATTTGGTTTCCTAATCCCGTTTCAAAACCGTTGCTATATTCATTTTTTCAATCCGCATTACAAATAAAGCATATCTGTATGCCAAGCAGCGTCTATTGAGGCAAATTAAGAACAGCGCGTAGACTACTTGCCTTGTTACAAACGAATTAAGGTGATATTAGTGAAGTCCTCGCCCATATGACGACCCTGTTAAGTTTATGAATATTGCAGTTTCACGAAAAAAAGCCGACATTATAAAAAATGTATTTAAGAAGAAGATCTGTGAATTCAATCAAGGAAAAAAATTGGCTCCCGAATGCTATTTTCATACTGCAATCAAATTAAGAAGTCTTGATGTGTAGGAATTCTTGATGAGCCACAGAAAGACGTTTCGCAATCTTGACCGAGCCGCGTGTATAATGAATGCGGAGTAAGGAATTCTCAGAGGCCGCACGACAAAGCAAGCAGCGGCTCGGCTTCTTGCCCGGAGTTTGCATCCGCTTTATTGCATTACCTTGGCATCGCAAGGTAAAAGTCTGGTTTATGATAGAACTTGAAATTGTTTTTGCGCTTCTACTTGCATTTTTGAAACATTTGAAGTATTTGTCCTTAACATTTATTGAGAATACTTTTTCATTCAAATAGATTGCATAATGACTATTATACTAAATTGATTTTCAAATTATTGATTGTAGAAATCTAAATGCCGGTAAAAATATATTTGTAATACATTAATAGTAAACCTCCAATTTTTTTAATACCCATTTTAATGCAGTGATAATAGCTTATTCAATGCAAGTTTATGGCATGTACTCACAGTTGATGAATGTCCTTCGAACTTTCATTACCGCAACGAAACCTCCACATACGGGCAGGTATCATGGATACGTCGACGGGACCTACACGTGCTGTCTACCGGTACCTTCACGTACACTAACGACGAACGCTTCAGCGTGACGCATGAACGTGGCACTGCGTACTGGGTGCTGTCCGTGTCACGCACGCAGATCAGTGACACCGGCATCTACGAGTGTCAAGTGCCTGCACAACCGAAGATATTCAAGAGGTTCTGGCTTGAAGTTATAGGTGAGGAATGGATATTTGATAATTTTAATATATTACGCAACCGAAGATATTTAAGAGGTTCTGGCTTGAACTTATAGTATAAAAATGGTTGTTTGATAATTTAATATATTACGCAACCGAAGATATTCAATAGGTTCTGGCTTGAAGTTATAGGCGAGACATGGTTATTTGATAATTTAATATATTGCGCAACCGAAGATATTCAAGAGATTCTGGCTTAAACCTCTTTTGGCATAACTTACGTAAGTTATATGTAACTTATGTGGCGCATGGAGTGAAAAAATTGAGATAGTTATAACTAATAGCAAGACTTTATTACTAGTTATAGTCATTTAACAATTTTAATACATTGTTTTAATATGTGGCAACCTCTCATGAGATAAGGGCTTCCGTTGTCATCTACGGTATTTATTTGAACCGAAATTTAATATCTAATTCAATCTAATAGCAATTACAATTTCGTACAATCATAAGTACATAGGAATATTTATAGATCAAGGAAAAAATATATGAAATAAATATTTATATAAATATAAAGATATAAAATAAGTATACATGCGAAATAAAGAAATGCATCCTCTAGCACAAAACTGCTGAACAATCTGTAATACATATAATTATTTCCATACCCCGTACGTCGCTTCCTTGAAGGTTTTAAGCAAATAATATCAATCTAAAAAAATTAATGTCATCAACAAATCAAGATTTCTAATGAAAAATTTGTGAATGTTTCTGACTCAAACACCAGTAAGCGGTGAAAGAGCTTTGTTTAATGTTTTCCATTACTCGCGGAAGAGGAAATGTTTTCTCATATTCACTTAGACGTAAATTTTAGACTTGAAACTAGAGAGAGACGAGACATCCTCCTGACATCGCCAGCCACTTCTAGAGATCCAGTGAGATTCAGAAAATATGTTCCACGTTATTTAATGCACGGACTTAGAAGAAGCACCGACCGTGTAAATAATCAACTAAATATTCTAAGATATTTATTTTGATTGCAACTGAAGGTTAGAAGGTAATTGTATTTACTAATTTGCCAAAAAAGCAAGGCGTAAAATAATTTTCATCTCAAAGTTTCCTTTTTATGAATGAAGGTAACTGATTAACATTGTTTACGACAATGTGGTAAATTTGTCTAACAGTGATTAATATATATAAAAATCGTATGTTCATAATATTGTGTGAAGTTTGTTGACACTGATAGTAAATTGATGATCATCTAATTTTATTATCGCTAGCCGGAGCATTGACAGCAATTATCATTTGCACTGTCACTCGATCTTAATATGATAAAAATGCGTAATAAAAATGCTATGAATAGTTTGATAACAGTATTTCTACGAAACTACGACTACATTATTTAGTCTTTAACCCTCGTCAGACAGCATAATTTTACCACGTTATAATCGTCTTGAGTTTAGGTACAATTTAACATATGCAAAACGAAATGGGTTAAAGCTTTGTGTTGTACGATGTGTCTCGCAGTTCCACACGCGACCATAGAGGGCAGCGCTGAGGTGTACATGCAGGCTGGGGGCGACATCAAGATATCGTGTCACGTCACTGGTGACACTCCTCCTACCTTCATACGATGGCTCCACACGCCGCTTGCTGGTGAGGGTACTGAAGAAATAGGCCCATGGCCATATGCCGATTCTTGTACTTTTCGTGACTTGATTTACAAGGGATCCGGCCTTTTGAGCCCAATCTTTCTATAACTGACGATTGATTGAGATAGCTGCTGGACTTATTGCCTGGTCCGTAATTTGCTAGGCATTTTAAGACTGAACATATGCTCCTGCATAGCTTCGTCTAGTCTGTTCTTGAAGGCGTTCATACTCGGAGCGTCAACGATGCTGTCAGGGAGGCTGTTCCACATGTATATTATAAAACGTTCGTAAATGTCGTGATTCCTTTCATGCGTAAGCCATTACAAGTAAAAGAGCCTTCGTACAGTTCCAGTTACGAATCGAAATGTAAAAAATAAAATAAAAAAGTTCTTCAACCTTGCACAGTTTCGTAAACTGATCTTGCATTCGAATATGGTAAATACCCGTTATATATATGGAGCAATTTGGACGCAAAATGAATAATATACCGCGGTCATGTATGATCATCTAACGACCAAATCACTCGACAAAACAAGCTCTTCTTACAAAACAAGCTCTTCTCACATAAGTGATGCATTCGCCCGCAATGTTAACTAAGAACCAAAAACATGTGATCACCCCCGAGTTTACAAAAGAGAATCTTTATATTAGAAATGTTTGGTCACCCTAAAATATTATTCCATTAGGATTTTACAAATTATTATCGGAAGCTATGGCAGATATTGATGTTATCTAGTAAACATTTAACGACTCTTAAATATTAGAAGTTATTCTTGTCTTAAAATGCAGACCTATAATTGCGTCTATTGTTTCATTTTTGAACATTTTTCAACCCCCATCTGTTCCGTGTTGTTATTCTTCATACCTTCATCAATTAAAACCCTTACAAACTTTGATCATTCTCCAAAATGAAACCTATAAGTATAGGATATTATACACCACCCTCCAAACATTCTTCAAGCGACCACGGCAAATGGGTTTGAAAGTCATGGCGTGCTATCATTTTTAACGCATTTCCAAATGGGGCCAGAATTTCGGGTGCCGCCTCCACTTGACTTCAGCAACACCTCAATAAAAAATCATTGCTGATTTAAGGACCGCCGACCATGGGCCATTGCCTGGCCTCCGATAAACCACCGATAATATTATGTAGACAACAACACCCCTATAATGCCAGCCATTAAAATGAGGCCTTTAGGCCTCACCTTAACATGGTTTCCCTCTCGAACAAATGACTGGCAATGCAGCAACAGCGAGGCTCCTTATTGCCGTCGAATTTCCGTCGCTGCCTTCAAAAAAACAGCCAGGCTTTTTTCGTGGTCGTTTTTTAACAGAATTATTCGACTGCACGATGTTTTTTGCTTCCAACACTTACTGAATTTTAATAAACAATTTCATGGGGATCGAAAATGCAGTTTCACTTAAATTTTTTGTAGTACTTTTAACGAAAACTTATTAAATGAAAAGTTTAGTTATTTCAGCTATTAAAACTGAAACTGGGCGGTTCCGGCAACAATGGACAGTTTCATTCATACATATTGGTCAATTGTAAGTCAAACACATGATTTGAGATTAATATACACTCGGCTCACAGATTTTATCTTATACGTGAAATCAAAACGATTATTAATTAGTTTAGCATCCCAATAACTATATAAAAGAATTATGTATATATTAGGAAAGCAATTCAGTGCGAAGAATGCTTCAGTGGAGTTTGTGTTCAGTGGAGTTAGTATTCTGTTAAGTTAGTATTCAGTGGAGTTCATATGCAGTAGAGTTCACATGAATATAGTAGAGTTCGTATTCAGTGGAGTACGTATTCGCTGCAGTTCGTATTCAGTGGAGTTCGTATTCAGTAGAGTTCGTATTCAGTGCAGTTCGTATTCAGTGCAGTTCGCATTCAGCGGAGTTCGTATTCAGTAGAGTACGTATTCACTGCAGTTCGTATTCAGTGGAGTTCGTATTCAGTGGAGTACGTATTCAGTGGAGTTCGTATTCAGTGCAGTTCGTATTCAGTGGAGTACGTATTCAGTGCAGTTCGTATTCAGTGCAGTTCGTATTCAGTGGAGTACGTATTTAGTGGAGTTCGTAATCAGTGCAGTTCGTATTCAGTGGAGTACGTTTTCAGTGGAATTCGTATTCAGTGCAGTTCGTATTCAGTGCAGTTCGTATTCTGTGGAATTCGTATTCAGTGGAATTCGCATTCAGTGCAGTTCGTATTCAGTGGAGTTCTATGCAGTGGAGTTTGTATTCACCTGGAATAGTCTCAGGTTCATTTTTTTCAAAGGATGAAAAACAAAGTGAAAACAACGCCTTGAGAAATACCAGGAAGAGGATTTCGCGTTCCACCAAAGTAAAAAGAACGCACAAATACGGTTTCGCTATAGCTTGAAGTTTCGTAAAAAGTTTGAGACTTCGGAGGATTTAAATTTTGGCTTCATGTCTTTCATGGGACTTTATTGCGTAGGTTTTATTTAGCTAGCTAGTTTAAAATAAATTTAGTTAATTTGTAGACCGATCAAAAAACGATTACTAACATACAATGTTCTTAATCACCTAAATCATTAAAATTTAGCACCATTATCCATTTAGCGATCCAGAACTGCTTGAAATTATGAGATTGTACATATAAATAATCAGACCGGGCAGCGATTTGAATATAAATTATAATATAAACAAATATATAGAATATATTGAATATAAAATAAAATATATAAGTATATAAAATATAAAGAACAGCACTCATGAAATTTATACACAAATAGTCACTCATTCAGGTATACTCAATTAAAAGCCAATCTCCACAGAGGCATGAATGAAGAGGAGCAAGCGGTTATATGTATAAAATTATACATATAAATGAATATAGTAATTTCAGGGACACTTTTTCAAGTGAATAATAATTATTTCATGTTAAAGTAAATTAGACAGTAAAATTTTGTAGCGTAAAACTGCAAGGTGGACATGGAACGTTTTTCACATTTTTTAGCGGGCGCGAGCGAAGCGGTCATTGTTTCAATGCTATTCACATGCATTGTTATGAATCGATGCTGGCTTTATTCTTTCTGAAAACACAGGCTATAAAGTGAACAATCGTGAAATAAAATATTAGCAACTATTATAAAAAAAAAATATTTTTAGAATACAGCCTTTTAATGAAAAATATTTATATTGAGCTTACAAGCACAACGTGAATATTGTTAACTGGGAGATGTTTGGAGACGGTAAAAAATGTACTATATGAAAATCTGCGTTCAAGTCAAAATAATCTTGAAAAATAATCTTGAATAAATAATCTTGAAAAAAATATGAATATCTGCGTTCAAGTCAAAATAATCTTTGGGTTATAATTCAATACTTATAATTCAAATCCAATTTCCTCATTAAATAAACAAACTGAAAGCTCCTAATACTCCATTAATGTTCTCAGTTTCCCTTGAACTCGATGTTTCTCCTTTAAGTGCAGCTTTTCTAATCTGTACTATTTCTTTGGAGTCGAAAATATATTTTGCATTGTCATGATCATGACGAATACAGTCAGCGCGTTCAAGCAATTTGACCTCGGAGTTAAAAATTCATCTAATGTTAATCACTTTTTAGAACCTTAAACCGAATATGAAATAATTAACCTTTTATAATAGGTTATATTAATTATAACTTGTGAATATCAACTTCCTCCCCTCAGTCATAATCGTGTCAATTAAACCAAATTTTCGTTAAAACTAGCCCACGTGCACTTTATATTAGGGTATTTTTATTGTCAGACTAATTAACATTTTAGAAACCCTTGATTAACGTCTTTTTTCTTCATAGGATAATCATCAAACTATTCCTCAAAGTTGATAAGTATTCCTGCAGAGTCCCGAGCTCGTCGAGTGAACCCAGCTCGACGTGGGGGCATGGGGCTGGTGTCAGACAACCGCCAGGCGCTGTCCTGGATGGTTCTTACGAAGGTGACGCGCGCTGACGCCGGCCTATACACCTGCACGGCGGCCGGGGTAAAGCCTGCCACCGTCACCGTGCATGTGCTCCAAGGTGATCAATTTATCAGTCGTGATTAGTATAATATTTTTTCACTTATGCGGAATTAAAGTATTGTTGTCCGTGTGAATAATCATAATTATTCACACAGAATAGTTCTTAAGACCAAAATTATAGGATTGTTGATAGAACAATACACCATAGCGAGTGGATGAGAATTCCACTTTGACTGAGCTTGTTGTATATATAAACTAATTTATCAAAACGGCAATCTGTGCTTCGAAAACGTATGGTCAACAATTGTCACGTAATACATGCTTAGCAGCTTTAAAATATGTATTTAATTTCGACCTATGAGATACTCATGCATAAAACTTGTTATTATAGTCAGTCCCCGAAGAAAACATTTTTTACGAACTTGGGACTATAATTTCGGTGGTCTTTAGTGGAGATCTCGCACAGCTTTGCAAAGTTGTTATAAGTAACGCAGTTTCCACACTCGGCGCATTTCTTGGCTGGCGACTGCCTAAAGCTAAGAAGCTAAAGCAATTTTTTGCGTGGTAAGCCTCAATGATTCCGCTAAGACTCGAAGAAAGTTGTTACTTCTTCTTTTCCAGAGGAAGTCCCGGCAGCGATGCAGAAAGGGAAAGGCGGTCAAGGGAACTCTACGGACCCCATCCACTTTCCTAATCCACCTGGGGATCCGTGGTCGCCCACTGTAGCCAACAACGCTGCACATTCACTGAAAGCCATTAATTGCGTTCATTACTTTGCGCTATTCTGGCCTATTTTTGCTATCTTTGTGCCGCTTCATACTGAGAATTTACCTCGCGTTTTTAATGAAATTTTGGTTAGCGTTAAATCCCATGTTCAACACGGCATTTTTTTTATTGTAAATTTTATGGTTCTTAGTATTTTTAAATATGATTACAGGACGTTTCTTTCATCTGCTACGAAAAATTCAAGGCTAGTAAAAAGGGAATTTTACTTATCCGTAAATGATAAAACATTCACTCAGACTCTGTATGAAAATTTGTTCAACCATTCCCAACTGCTTCGGTTTTGTGTTACACCTGATTTTTCTGGAAAGTTTGTATTAGTTACTAAATTATTGTTTAATATAGAATTTCGAGTTAGATCTAATACTGCTTATGGGAAAAAATCGACGCTGCTCTGGACTTTCCGAAACAATAACTCCACGAAACTCCGTATTAAACATATTTCGAAGCTCCCTTCTCATAATATTACGAACAACATCCTGTCTTCAATTTTGAAGAAACTGAGCACAATTTTCATCAAGATTATTTTCATCTTAACCTATTTATTTTTTGAGCTGACAGGTTTTAAATTCATAGTAATTTTTGCAGTCGATGTTTCTATATCGAAACATCATTCTTATTTACAAGATGCCGGCTCATTCGTTAGGTTGAAATCTATAATTGCTTTTGTGATAGACGATTTTAAATTAAAATTCCGGAATTTCTCGCAAAATTATGACTCTATAAAATTTAATATCGATATGTTCGCTATCCATCATGCTTATAACTCAATGAAGAACTTATTAAGATGACATAGCTTTCTCAACAAGAGGCTGTCTAATGAGAGACGTTAAATGATTTACCTGACCCATGACGTTAGAAGTTAGATGTCTTGATGGATTATAATTATACATCAATATAATATATATGTATACATGTGTAAAATCATTTTTAATCCTTTTATTAGGGATTATTAAGTGCATCTATCACATTGATGAACAAGAACCGGACATTGAATCGGATACTAATTTAGAAAGATGGCAGATTAAACGAGCATCATCGACTAATGTATCATGCTGTATTAGACAAACATACGCCTAATAGTATTTTAATTAAATTAAAGAGCTGAATTAAATCCTGTGATTTCGAATTAAGTCTAAAAGCCACAAATTAAAAATCCGTTCGTACGACACCAGTCAGCAAAGCTACGATTCTTTCTAAAACAATCTTACAACTTTTACATCCTAATTAAAATGCATCCTTTTCCTATAAACCATACATCAAGATAATACACATTATTAATCATTAATAATTAACCTAGTCCTCTACAACGTGAAGTCACGGACAGACGGACGGACATGGCGAGCACAATAGTGCATTTTTTCCATAAATGAGCAAATGCGCTAAAAAGGCGCGAAATAGGTCAAGTAAATTCGCCCTCCTCACATGCTTTTGAATTTACTTAATGCCCGCGAATTAAGATCTGTAGTTTATCAAATAATGGTGAGAAAGAGAAAAAAAATTATCGAATAAATAATTGTTAGATAAGTGCTCGATTAACAAATTCATGTAATCTCATTGGCCAGCATTTTAACCAATTAAAGAGATGCATTAGCTCCAGCTTCAACAAAAGCAATGTCTAATTCCGTTGGAGGATATAGTGGTAAACAAAGGATGAATAAAAATGATCGATGAAAAGTACAATAATAAACAAATTTGAAATGAAAGAATACAAGAATATGAAACAATAAACCGTGTCTTTCCCAAACTCATGTTTATTACATCGTGATCGAGTAGATCTTAGTTCGGATTCAAGATTCCGAGCTTTTCTGGAATGAACAAACAAGAATTCATAACTAGCAGCAACAACAAAAAAAAACAGAATTTAGAGCATATACGACTAATAAATAATAGACAGATAATCAAAATTATGAACCCCTCTAAATACCACCACTGAATTCAAACATCTAATGTTTGAATTAGAAAATTATGACAAAAAATAAATAGACTAAGTGCTAGAGTAACGCGTACCTCCGTGGTGTATCACACATCAATGAATAATTGCCGAGCATATCTGTACGAGGTCACGTCCGAGGTGACTTAAAACCACAGTTCAGAATGCCTAACTGTATTAAAACACTATTGCACTGCGTCCCCTAACAATTCAATCCCAGAAAAATATGAACCAAAATCAGAAGCAAAAATATGTGGGCAATAATTTCACCGCGTCTTTTTATTCATCACCTAAACAATATTATTATTTTTATCAATCTTTTAGGTATTACAAAATATATATAACATATTACACAGCAATAGCATAATATTGAGTTGTGCAATAATTTTCACAGACGTATTAAGCATGAAATTTACTAAATAAATAGAAAAAGATAGTCTCGTCCTTTTATGTAATTTTTAAATTATATGACAACGGGAAAATAATTCTATAGCTGAAGGAATGTGTGATTTCTTGTACGGTATAAAAATTTTATTTTATTACAAACCAAAAAATGCTTTTTCGACAATCAACTGCAAAATTATTCGCAAGATGTATTTAATTTTCAATGCGTTTAATCAACGTTGTTAAGTGTTGTTCGATTTCGAATTGCATAAAGCAATTCAGCCGAGCTCATTCAGCAGAAATATTCGTTCTTGTTGTTGTGCTGATACACCAAATTTCGTTCCCTCGTCTAACATTACGCCAAAGTAGTGAGATGTATTAGATAACATAGTAAAAATATTTGAAACGAGACTAAAATAATCATGATCGGGCCTTCTACAATGATCAGTGAATTCACGATTTTAACTTTAACCCCATATAGTGTAAATGAAGGCAAAAAAGTATATAGTTCCACAAAATTCTTATTTTTGAACAAATCTGAATGACGCCCTACAATTTTTATGCAAAATTTACAAATAATTCCTCCAATAAAGAAAATAAGCTTCTAATATCGATATCAGTGGCTAACTATCGCAATAGTTCCACGACGGCCCCATTTTCGTTTTCTAGAGTCCTCAATTAGTTTAGTTCGAGAAAATTCTTCACTGTCCAGTGATCAACACTTCTGCCATAAGGCAAACATCTCTGGAGGACGAGCAAACATCTTCAGCGATACCCGCGGTGAAGGGATAATTATGATGTTTTTACTGTGGCTGAAAGAGTGCCTGCAGAACTGACCTATGGACGCCAACACCTTGAAGAATGAGGGGAGCTCGAAGTGACGCAGAGCTTTCCAGGAGAAAGATGATCCACTAACGGTCATGTTATAGGCTACGTTAGTTAACCCTAATGGGACTTCAGGAATGATGTTTTCAAGAGAAATAGTAGGTGCGTTTTCAGGTTAACCGCGAGGTCAGTAATCGGACAGTAAACTGCAGCGACTGTTTCATGGTAGCGGGAAAGACTTTAAAGGATACTTGGCCATGACAAGCTCTTTTACAGGACGAAGAAAAGAAACTTTGAGAACAGCAACATCATAACCTCTCCATAGTTTTTTCGATACTATATTGCAAATTATCTTACCGAACGATTTTAAAATGAAATGTAAATTTTACAATTCTAGTACAAACCCATATCGGACTTTTTGTCTACAAATGGCCCACATAGAAAAATTGTAATATATCTGTTTCACTATTTTTTTATGATGATAAATAATTCATGACAATGAAATAAGTTTCAGGTTGGCAGGCAGAAGAATTTATTGGAGACACTTTGCTGCGCCACGCAGCCTCGCATCAGTTCCGGCTTTCAGCAGCCGGACGGAGTCGTTCGTCAGTCCGGTTCTCTCGCTGCTCAGCGGATGCACAAGGATGGCTCCCGTAAATTTAGCCGTCGGTGTCTACGTATCCTAGTTTGATGTTACGAGATAGAGATCAAAGAAGAGCCTCGATTCCGGAGCCAACAAATTCTAGACCAGCGGCGAATATGAGTATAAACATTTTACATTCGGTTTTCATGAAGCCCGAGAAATGTAATGAGATATTTCCAGCCACTGCGTCAACAAAACCAAAATGAAACATGAACTTAGATTTGAGCATAAATATTATCACGACGGGCAACCTAGAAATGAGGTTCCATGGAGAAAGGTCAGCCTTTCTTTATGCGCTCTACAACACGAAACCTCCATAAGCTTCCTGTTCACATTTTCTATGCTTCACGAAAACAGCCTTAAAGTTGCGGTCAAAGTCAAAATAGATCAGAAAAGCAGCTGCTGAAACATGGAATAAATGTAAAGGAAATGGATTGCATAAATTCTTGCAAGTAACTACTGTTTTTCGGAGGCCAAATCATCCAGCTCCTGTATCACAATTTGAAGATTCTGACTCAAAGCCTTTTATATGGGAAGTGAATTTTTCCTCTATTTACTAAAAAACTCGTAAACATGTAACTAAAATCTCCGTAGCCCTGCTTCGCGGCTATTATAATGCCGCGCTATGTTAGCCGCGCCGCTCATTGAATGACACAGTGATATAAATTTTCAGTCCATTCAATGTCAATTTGACGTATATTCAAGCCATACGCCTAATAATTTAATTGAAAGTAAACCCAATATACTTGATAAGAATAGTAGCAATTTTAGAAAATTTGAAAGTATAAAACAACTGATTTTTGTACAAAAAAAGTAGGAGAACAAATTTTGGGTAAACGGTACATCCAAAATTTTTAATATTTTGAGCCTCACAACATCACGGTACAAAATTAAAATACCATATTAGGCTTTAGGAGCGATTCTGATGATGGGCAAATATCGTGAGACTGAGAATCAGAAAAAATATAACTCGAAGTAAACCAAAAATAATAAAATATAGAAAATCATCACATGAGTGACAATTTTAATATAAGAACATTAGAACTTTGCAAAATTATTCTTTACTTCGTGCACTAAAATTTAATCACCAATAACGTGATACACGAGAACTAAACACGTACAGCACGATTGCAATACAGAGTTACACAAAATCCAAGATAAAGATGGGGTGTCAAAAATACATGAAAAAGTCGAAAATACGTGATAATACATGACCTAGAATCGAAAATGCATGAAAATAGCAAGTTAGTCAAGCAAAATTTTGAAGCTGATGGCACCAACGATCCAGGGCAGCGCGATAACAAGAGATTCGAATGAAGAGATGAGGTAAGATTGATTTAATTACTGGAACAAAAGAGCTACGAAACCTGATTACACTTTGAAAGCTCCTCTGTAATCAGTGTACTGAATACTGAACACGAAAGCTACTGCGCTGCAAACCGGTATAATATAACGTTGTATCGTGCGTTGATGAAAGACAAATAAGAAATTCGAGCAAATTTGATATGAATTTCATGAATACGTCAAGCTCAGGTAAAATCATAATGTCTTTAAAAATTTCCTTTTATTTCCTGGAAATTAGCAATGTTTCCAGTATTTTTTATTTATGATTTTTTTTTTGCCTCGGGCTGACTTTTTGTTTTAGCCCTAACCTTGGACTGACCTTGGGCTTGAACATAAGTAAAATCTATTGAGTTTTTAATATTTTTACAGCTTTTCCACTACAAAAGGGATTTAACTATTTATCCACTGACATGAACACGCTGATACGTATAGCTAACGTGGCCGTACGAGTTGTTGCTCCACAAGTCATGTCACGATTAGTCGCACGCGCTGATTATATTGCTTTATAAGCGGGTAGACTTGATAAAAAATAATCATTTTTCGTTTTTAAAAGGTATCCTGAGCATTATCAACCGATGTAGAATACTTTTTAACTAAAGATGATAGTACCCCATGCGGCACAAGTGGAAATAATAGAAAAAAATATTTATCAATGATCCTATTCAGCCTAATACGTTTAGACGACTGCAAAAAGTTGCCCTTAAAAAGGTGTCAAGAAATGTGCAAATGACATAGCGCTCGATGAGTCGT